GTTCGGTGCAACCTGGCAGGCCCAGAAAGAGGCCCAAGCCCAAGGAGAAGGCGAGGCCCAGAAAAAAAAACGTAAGACGATCCCGATCCTAAAAAAAAAACGTAAGACGATCCCCTTCCTCCGCCACGACTCGAACAGAACGGATTGTTCCACCAGCTGTGGTTCCCCCGGTTCCCCCCTCCAGTGGATACATGAGGAATAGATAGACGAAATGGTCCAACAGCTCCTGCACGTCGATCGGCTCTCGGCCGGTCAGTCAGATAAGCATGCATGGACGACGGCCGCCCGAGGCTTGACCCAGATCTACAACTACGCCTATGATTAGGGAACCAGCAGACGCCGACCGAACACCAATGATGCGACGTCGACCGAAACCATCGACAACGCACATGCAGAGGGCGCGAGCGAGATTATCCACAGTAATTAAATTACGGTCGACGGCGACCTTACCTCCTCCCTATCGCCACACGTCAACCAACCCACATCGTATTCCCTTCGGCTGCGTATCCGTAGCGTACGTGCTGCTGCATCGTATTCCCTTGGGCTGTCCCCTGACCAAACCACGTACTACTCTACATCGTATTCTCTCGGGTCGTTATCTCCGGGCTCGACATTGTTTACAGCCAGCTGTCCCCTTGCTGCCACACCGTGAACGATGCCATCGGAAGAAGAAAAATATGCGTATGCGTGCCAGTGGCTGTGTGTCTTAGACGACGGGCGCAGACCACCGATCACTGTGGCGTCGCTGCGTTTGTCCCGCCTGATTTTCACCGGTTTAAATTTCAAAATCTACGCTGTTCCCCTCCACTGGCAGACAATCACAGCGCTCGGTGCCTGCCGCTGCCAAAGTTACAGCGCCCAGACGGGGAGAGCGACAGAGGCGCACGGGCCACGTACGGCGTCGTCTTCTGCCCTCCCCCCGTGGGGCTGCGCGCCGTCGCTGGCAGGCGGGTCCCGGCCCCCGGCGTCCGGCGTGGCGCGGCTGCGTCGCCTTGCCTCGTGCTCCGCGCCTCGGATGCCTTCCCCCTCTCTCTCCCGCGGGGCCGCACGTGCGCGCGGCGGCCACGTTACGCGAGCTGCTGCTGCTGGAGACGACGTGGTGGGTGCGCCGCTCGCTTGGATCTGGAGGGTGACTGGATTGGCAGTGTGTGGACGGGCCCGACGACATGGCGGCTGTTCCGTTGCTGCCCTCCGTTTTGGAGCCACGTGGAGCGGCGGGTCGGTTCACCGCGATCTGATCATGATGCGTCCGGCTTCGTAGATGCTAATCCTATGGACATCTGGTGTGGGACGCCTTTTGATGGTCTCTTGGCTGAGACAATGGGGCGTGGCCAGAGTCAATCGACCAAAAACTGGTTTTGGGTGGGTCGATTATTTTGAACCGTCAAATGCTAAATCAACAGCGAGATCGTCTTCTTTAACCTTCGGCTCATCTTGCTCCTCTGACCACCTTGCGTACCACCGACCAGGCCCCCCGCGACAGCCTCGCCGCAACGTCCTCCCCTGAACCGTCCCCCATCGCTGGTCTTGCCGCCGCCCCGGCCATACCTCTAGCCCTGGGCGATGACCAATTTTTTTCCGGCGAACTTTTTTATCTCCTCCGGCGAGCGTCTTCCTCCCCTTCAGCAGTTTTCGCCTTCTAGCGAAATGGACCGACCTAAAATTCAAAACTGACGCGATTGACATGTAGCTTTTGTGGAGACAACGACGTTTGTGTTCATCGTAGAAACAATGACGCTTGCACTCACGCTTTTGTTCATTCAATTCTCTGAGTACTCGCACTATTTTCACCGTACCACATACTGTGCCAGCATTTACACGCACATAAAACGGGCAATGTACCATGTACGAACAGCTGAGTAGATCAGATCATCGGACCAGCGGTGGGAAAAGCCTCCTTCGCACATCCCCACGGCGCAACTGGCCGGGGCCCCTTCAGATGACAAGCCTATCCCGGCGATCTTCGTGCAGACGTGCAGTACCCACACACTGCGCGAGTCACGGCTCACGAGCTGAGGCATCGTCAAAACAGTCGAAAACGCCCACATCAGACAACCAAGCCCGGCCCGCGCACGCAGCCGAGCCGAGGAATCCACCC